TTTTTCTAAATCTTTTTTGTAATATGGTGTGTTTGTTAGTAACTATGCCTAGGTGGCTTTACCATTTTTTAAACATTCGATTGATTATTTATGTCAGTTACTTATCACAATCCGGATATAGCTTCCAGTTCCTGTAGGATTTTTGCAAGCAACGTTTCCCCTGAAATCGAGGAATTTAGTTTCATTCTTTTGGTCAAATTGCATTTGTTGTAACTCGTTTATCAGCATATGCCAACCTTGAAGGAAACTAACTCTTTTTCGTTGCTGCCAAGATCTGTTTTTCAGGTTTATGCAGCCAGTAATATCTAAAATTCCAATAATGATGGTGCAAGGGAACCATGAAATAGAAGAACAGGCTGAAAATCGAACTTTTGCTTCCTACAGTTCTCGATTTGCATTTCCATCAAATGAAAGCGGATCTTCTTCTCCATTCTATTATTCTTTTAATGCGGGTGGCATACATTTTATAGTCCTAGGCGGATATGTTGCCTACAATAAATCAGGTAATCAGAAATTCAAAATTTGAGTCAGGTTAATGCCAGATAATTACATTATTATTATCTGCCAGAAATTAAATTCTGTTGGCCTCTTTCGAATCAGACGATCAATACAAATGGCTGCAGAAGGATCTGGCAAAAGTTGATCGAGAAGTGACTCCATGGTTAGTTGCCACATGGCACCCGCCTTGGTACACCACTTACACAGCACACTACCGAGAGGCTGAATGTATGAAAGTAGCTATGGAGGATTTACTTTACCAGTATGGTGTGGATATAGTCTTCAATGGACACGTAAGACTTATAATATAAATGAAATTCTCCAAAACTTGTTCTCGAAGTTCACTGAACAAAGAGAACCAGTGAACTGTTATTTATTTATTTATTTTTTCATTTACATTCTCATTTTTTTTTAAATTAGAAACAATTTCACTGACATAGGCAAAGTGAAAATATTGACAGGTTCACGCTTATGAGAGGTCAAACAGAGTGTATAACTATACCCTCGATCCATGTGGGCCAGTCTACATAGCGATTGGTGATGGTGGAAATAGAGAGAAAATGGCAATCACGCACGCTGATGATCCCGGTTACTGCCCTGAACCATCGACCACACCCGATCAATTTATGGGGGGATTTTGTGCATATAATTTCACGCGGGGCCCAGCTGCTGGCAAGTTCTGCGGGGATCGACAACCTGAATATAGCGCTTACAGGGAAACCAGCTTTGGCCATGGAATCCTACAGGTATGTACCTGCCTTTTGCTCTTCCTATCTTTATTCCCTTTGTTTTTGTGTTGCTTCATCTTTTTATTTATTTATTTTTATTTTTATTTTTTTGGGCTCTGAATGAATAATTTTGCGATTTGTTTACACTTGATATCTGATGCAATTTAGGTGAAGAACGAGACACATGCTCTTTGGACGTGGCACCGTAATCAGGACATGTACAATAAAGTCGGAGATCAGATTTACATTGTGAGGCAACCTGGGAGATGTTCGGTTAAGCCAAAGGTAATTAAACTTTGGGGAACACAAATGTCGGAAGAATCGGCTTCCGACATCTTACTTACTGAATTGGTGTAATGTTGTGAAAACTAATTACTAGTTTGTTGTACAGTTTTGTTGTCCGATTAAATGTTGATGTAAAATTATGGCTATTATTAATAGTAGAAATTGTGAAAACAGAAGATTGTTGATCAGCAATTTTTTTTTTTATTTTTCTTTTTCTTGGGGGGCCTTTAACCATGCAAATCTGGTTTGGGTTCAAATGCTTTTTCTTATGCTCATGCAGGTTGATCAAAATATAAGCTTAATGTGTGCAAAAGGGTTGGAGAAAAATTTTGTTTGTTCTGATTACCAAGTTTGATTCATAGTTTCATACTTCCAAGTAAAGCAAGAAACAAGGAGTGATTAGTGAAGAAGCACACACAAATGTTGGGATTTCAAGATTTCTATATTGTTTGCAATAATAATATGAAGGAAATCATATAATACTCAAAAGTTCCATGAATTTCTATTTTCTGAACTTCCTCTTTATTTCTGGGTCACCTTAATTGAAACTTAGAGATGTTGAAAGTGAGAATTACAACTGATGCACACTAATGAGTGTGGCAAATCATTTTTTACTGTAAGTGCTTTTAGGGTTCTACAACCTATGTAGTGCCTCATTCGATTAAATAAGATGATTAAATAAGAGACATCTTGTTTTATTTTATTTTTAATACATTGCATTGCATATTATTCTTATAAGCTCGACTAAGTTAATAAGTTATTCGAGATTATTTAGACGTCTTCGTCTATTTAATCATTTAAGTTAAATAATTTTGTAGACGTCATCGTCTATTTTAAATTATTCAAGTCTCGGCAATTCGATTGCTAAATAATATTCATTCTATTTTGAATTCTCGTGCAAGCCTTTCTCGAATGATTTCGATTGGCGACGAACGATTAATAAAATTGGAAATAATTTAAGTAAACGAGGACATATCCTAAAAGTATTTAACTTATTAGATTAAATAGACGTGGACATCTAAATAATTATAATAAACTTATTCAAGAATTTTGGTCGCGCAATTACGAAGATACCACAAAGCAATGCAATTAATAATAAAATAAAAACACAACGACTCATAATTAGAATGAGGTCGTAGCCGAGCCTTTGTTTGGGGTGGAAATGCCGACAAACGAAAGATCCATTTGGTTGCATGGAAGAATGTGTGTAAACCTAAAGACGAAGGGGGCCTAGGCATAAAGGACTTACGTAAGATGAACCAAGCGCTATTGATAAAACTCGGTTGGGGCCTTCTCTCAAAAAGTAAAGCACTATGGGCCCGAGTTTTGGTCGCAAAGTATGGGCTTGACCCCCCGTACCAACTGGATACGCCTCATGCTCGTCAAGGGTCCCCTTTGATGCGAGCATTGCACAAGCTTTGGCCTGAAGTAATAAAAGGGACTAGGTGGAGCATCGGAAACGGAGAAGCGATACGGTTTTGGCTGGATAATTGGGTGGGACCAATCGGCCCGCTTATTAACCACGTTATTCGGAGACCGCCCGAAGACCACATTAACCTGTCAGTGGCGGATTACGTAGACAACCGAGGCAGTTGGAACTGGAACGAGTTCCATGGCATCCTCCCATCTGCCATTATTATTCAGATTGCGGGAATCGTCCCACCAACAGAAGAAGCAGGGGCAGATAGACTCACGTGGAGTGTTTCATACGACGGAAATTTCACTACACGCTCGGCTTACTCGTCATTATCCCAGCCCGCAAGTAATTCGGATAAATTGCTCTGGAAGCTAATTTGGAGATCTTCGGTTCCGCAACGAGTCCGAACCTTCATGTGGTTGGCTGCCCGGGAACGCTTATTGACTAACGAGGAACGAGTCCGGCGACACCTCGCTAACTCGGCAGAATGTGAAGCGTGTGGTGGGACCGAAACAATGATGCATGTGCTGCGTGACTGCCCGGCTACAAAGAATATGTGGCGTAAATTAATTCCCACAGCCTCAAGACAATCAATTTTTCAGCCTGGAATTTCGGCCGTGGTTGATGTCCAACTTAAGCGGAGCACCGATGGGTAGGTACAGAAATTGGGCCACCTGTTTCGCGTTTGGAATATGGAGCTGCTGGAAATGGAGGAATGATAGAACCTTCAATGGCCGATTGAATGATAGTGAAACTCGCTTCCAGGAGGTTGTCCGGAAGTCGGAATTGTATGCCCAGGCAGTCGCGAGCTATGTAAAGGCGGGAGCGACAATGAACGTCATGTGTATGATCAAGTGGCACCCACCGGACACGGGATGGGTCAAAGTTAATACTGACGGGTCATTTAATCGCGTTACGGGTGTGTGTAGTGCGGGAGGCCTTCTTCGGGATGATTTAGGGAGATGGATTGAAGGTTTTATAATGAATATTGGAATTGGTACCATCACCGGAGCCGAACTTTGGGGCTTGTATCAAGGTCTCCAACGGGCATGGGAACTGGGCTTTCGCCAAGTTGTAGCAGAAAGCGATAGCCAGTGCGTTATCCGAATGGTTACTGGCCCACGAGCCCACTTTGGGGTCCATGAATCCATAGTGGGGGCCATTCGGGACTTGATCGATCGAGAATGGAGCATCAAGATCCAGCACGTGCACAGGGAAGCCAACTACGCGGCTGATTATATGGCGACACTAGCGCCTTCATTTCCATTAGGGCTTCAGAGAATCCCGTCACCCCCCAAGGATTAGATGCATGGATTGATCACGACTCTCGAGGGGTGACACACCCCCGCAGCGTTCTAGTTTCGTAGTCATTAGACCTTTGGCCTCCATCTTTGTACCAAAAAAAAAAGAATGAGGCACTAAAATAAACTGAGTAGAGCACTACACTTGAACTGCATTAAATACTTATATTATTCACATTAAATCTATGGTTGATCTTTTTCTTATTTTATTATACAATTAGTTACCATAAACAATTTTACATATTCTTTTTCTATATTACCATACATACATTTCCTTTTTTTATTCAATTCATACACTAATTATTATAAATTTGTATTTTTATTATTTTTTAATATTCATAACTTTTTTGATTGTCTTTTGTTTTTATATATTAAATCAAATTAATTATATTTTAATGATCTTCAATTTGACATCCATATTACAAATATAAAATACAAGATGGTGATATATATCTTTATAAATAAATTTTAAACTGATTCATCAAACTAAATTAAAAGATATAATAAAACTACAAAATATCTTATGAAACAGTAGAAGTTGATTTATATAACATATAATAAAATATTAATATTAATTGAAAGAATATATAAACTAAGTATGAACATATAATAAATATAAAAAATATCTTAAAATTTATGTCTCAACTTAAATAAAGACTACAAAGAGATGGAACATTATAATGATACTAAAAATAAAAAATATTAATTATAATTAAAAATAAAAAATTAATTATTATATTTAATAAAATTTTAAATATTACACCTATACATTATCTTTAAAATTATTAAATATTATAAAGTTAAATATATTTACAAATATAATCGATGACGAAAAATAATTGTGTTTTTAAAATAATAATCAAACCTGGAAATTATTTTTTTCATTCTCTGTTGCAAAATTAATTTTTTCCTCAAACACCCGTGTAGTACACGGATATTGTACTAGTGTTGATACCCAATTTGGGCCTAACTAATAAAAATATGGGAAATTTTATCTCTACTTACCGATTTGTAAGTAATTGTAACAATACCATTCAAACAAAAAAAATTGTCTATTTACGTAACAGATGAAAACATATTATATCGATGCCTAGAAAACGGTTGGGTAAAGTGAACAACCTTTCCTAATTTATAGCGCATAATCTCAGGGCACTCATATGGAAAAGATACTGTTTTTGAATATGAATGCATGATCGTCGTTGAAAGGAGGCGGAGAGGAGAAGTTACCACACGATCTCCTTTCACCAAAAAAAAAAAAA